TGTCTTAGATTTCCAAATTGTAAGGCCCTCATGTACTCTTTGTGGTGATCTTTCCCATCAGTACCTTCACCTCTTGTAAATCTTTCTATAGCTCCTTCAGGATGGCAGCCCTGGTTGGGCAGGGCGGGCAGGCTGAGCCGCTGGGCCAGGGATGGCAGCAAAGGCAGTGGGCAGCCAGTGTGAAGCGGTCTCGAGGCTGCCGCACTCACTCCCTGTGTCTGGAATCTGGTTTGTTTTTTAAAAGGATTTTTTTTTTTTTTTTAATCAGTGGGGTCTTTTCGGCTCTTCTGTGTCTATCCCTTTGATCACTATTTTTGGCCTACTTGCTATGGTGAGGACTTCCAAAACTATACCGAATAATCTGCAGAAACTGAACATGCTTGTTTCATACCTGATCTCAGAAGGTGCTTTCGGATTTTTGCACTTGAGGGTGCTGTCGTTTTTTTCTTTTTCCATATAGACATTTTCCTCCCAATTATGGAATATTCATTTTGAATATCATTTTGTCTGCTTACAGAGGCTGTCACCTTTTATAAGCTGGTGGGAGTGATGGCATACTTGTGTCATCTGAGCAATCTCCTTATGACAGAAGGGAAAATACACAAATCCATTCTTCTTCAGGGAGTAGTAACTACTGTAGGAATTAGTCTCTTCTGTGCTCAAAGCATGGCTGGGCTCTTTATTCTCTCTTTGCACGCCTTTTTTCTTTTTTCTTTCTGGCTTTTTGGGTCACACCCAGTGGTGCTCAGGGATTACTCCTGGCTCTACACTCAGTAGTTACTGCTAGAAGTGCTTGGGCGACCATATGGGATGCTGGGAATTCAGCTTGGGTCATCTGTGTGCAAGGCAAATGCCCTACCCACTGTACTATTGCTCTGGTCCCCCAATTGTTTTTCTTTTTTTTGGGGGGGTGGGGTCACACCTGGCAGTGCTCAGGGGTTGTTCCTAGCTCTGTACTCAGGAATTACTCCTGGCCATACTCGGGGCGCCAAATGGAATTCTGGGGATGGAATCTGGGTGAAAGGCATGCGAGGCAAGTGTCCTTTGCTTCTCTGCACGTTTTGGGGCACGTTCTGCTTATTGTTGTAGATGACCATTGCATTTTGTTGTTGCTGTTAATTTAGTCACCATGAAATCACAGCCACTCATGATTGGGTTTCAGGGATGATGTTTCAGCATCACTGCCTTCACCATTGTCTACTTGTCTCCAGCAGCCTTTTCCCACCAATGCCTGTCTGCTTCCCACCAACCAGTCTGCCTCGACGAGAGGCACTATTTGTTTGCCTGGATGACATGTTTCATCATTACTTCCTCCTCTCTGTTGAATACTTTTCCCACTGTAGTTAATCCCCCCTCTCTGTCTTATTCTCCAGCCCCCCAAGTGGCACAGTTCTACTGAAGAGCCATTACTATCTTGAGATAATGCTCTGTTCTATTCCTGTTTGGTAAAGGTGTTGAGGGTTTTTTTTTTCTTTTTTGCTTTTTGGGTCACACCTGGAGATGCTCAGGGGTTACTCCTGGCTCATGGCTCATGGACTCAGGAATTACCCCTGGTGGTGCCCAGGGGACCATATGGGATGCTAGGAATCGGACCCGGGTTGGCCGCGTGCAAGGCAAACGCCCTACCCGCTGTGCTATCACTCCGGCCCCTGGATGTTGAATTTTGTCAGTAGCTTTTTCTGCATAAGTTGATATGATCACGTATATGCGTAAAAATACACATATATGATTTTTAGGGGGAGGGGCCAAACCTGGCAGTGCTCAGGGCTTATTCCTTATTGTTCACCCTTGTTGGTACTCAAGGGGCCATTTGGGGTGCTGGGGGTCAACCCAGGTCTGCCACATACAAGGCAAGCACTCTGTCCAATATGCTATCTCTCCAGCCCCTTTTATCTTTTGATGATATAGAGTGTTACATTAATTGATTCTTGTATATTGAATTATTGTTGCATTCCTGGAATGAATCCTAATTGAATATGATGTATGATCCTTTTGCTATATTGTTGGATTCGGTTCTCTTAGCTTTTGTTGAAGATCTTTGTGTTGCTGTTCAGCAAGGATATCAATATATTATTATTATTATTATTATTATTATTTTGGTGGGGAGACATTCTGCAGTGCTCAGGGCTTACTCCTGGCTCAAGACTCAAGGTTCACTCCTAATGGGCTCAGGGGGCCATACGGGGTGCTGAGAATTGAACTCAGGTTGGCTGAGTGCAAGACACTATACTATTAGGAATTGCTTTATAAACTTTGCTGTTTCTTCATTTGGTGTATATATGTCAATATGAATTAAATCTGTTTGATCTATTGATCCCTTAACCAATATGAAATGTCCATTTTTATACCTTCCTATTTATTTATTTATTTCAGCTTGAATATTCTTGTCTGATATAAGGCCATCTCTGCCTTCTTAAATTTACTGGCTTGAATGATTGTTTTCCATCTTCTTACTCTGAGCCTGTGTTTATCCTGTGAATTCTAGTCTTTCCTGTAAGCAGCAGAAGGTTGGAAAAGACTGTTTCCTTGTCCATCCGCCCACTCTGTGTCTTTTGATAGGAAAGTACAGTCCATTGACATTTAGAGAAATGATTGATGTGAAGGACTTGGATTTCCATTTTTCTATAAAATAGTTTCTGGAGTTTAACATTTTGCTGTTGTTTGCTTTGCTCATTGTTTCATGCCTGGAAGTACTTAGCGTTTACTCTGGAGAGAGAGCATATTGGGCAGGGTGCTTGCCTTGCATGTGGCTCTCTGTTTAGGGATCCTTTCTGGTATGGATTGGGGAGAATATCTGGATGCCAGGGATTGAACCTAGGTTGTCTGTGTGCAAGGCTCGTTCCTACCCACAGTACTATCTCTGTGGTCCCTTCCCCCCCCCCCCCCCCCCCCCCATAGGATGTGTTCCGAATCCTCACAGAACTTGTTTGGATGTAACACATGTCTTCTTGGTTGTCAAAAAATGTTTTCATGGGGCTGGAGCAATAGTCCAGCCGGTAGGGTGTTTGCCTTGCATGTGGCCGACCCAGGTTTGAGTCTCAGTACCCCTTATGGTCCCCTGAGCAGCACCAGGGGTGATTCTTGAGTAACCCGTGAGCATTGTTAGATGTGACTAGAGAGCCCCCTCCCCACCAAAAAAAAGTTTTTATCCTCTCTCAGATCTGAGTGATAGGTTAAGCTTTCTTGACTGAAATCATTTCATTTAGTATTTGAATAAATCGTCCTATTTCTTCCTTGTAGCTTCATTTGAAAAATCTGATGAGAATATTTTGTTATTTTTCTTGGAATTAGGTCTTTCTTCTCCTGTGCTCCTTCAGGTAGTCTTTGGTTCTTGGTATTCGATCCAAATGTTCATCTTGGTATTCTGTTTGTGTGTTTCTGGTTGACGTTCTGTGGGTCCCTCACTGACGGTCAGTGCACGAGTCTCCACACGGGGGAGGCCTTAGCTATTATTTCCTCCCCCGACATTCTTCCTTTTTTCCCCCTTCTCTTATGGTTTCTTACAACTTAGAGGTTTTTCTTCTTGTTGTTGTCTATTAAGTGTCTTTTTTTTTTAATTAAAATTCTTTAATGTTCCTCTTCTTTGTTGATGATGTCCTGTGCCTGCTCCTTAGGGTTGTTGATTCTAATTTTGGTTTCTTCTATTCTGCGCTTTAGTCCTGCATCTGTATTCTTTGACTCCTTCGATTCTGTTTCAGTGAACTTTAAAAATTTATTTCTGTCAAGGTTTCTTGGATTTTATTGAATTTTTTCTTTGAATGATTTTGTCAGTTGTTTGAAAAACTTTGAGTGACTGTTGCTCTTCGGTCCTCGGCAGCACTGAAAGATTTGCTGCACCTGAGGACTTCCTCTTGCTTCCAGTCCCCACCTGGTGATCTCTGAATTCCTTAGTTTTTTCAGTATTTCTGTTGATTATTTCATCATTTCCAGTGGGGCTCTGAGTTGCAGGTGATCTGAGCAGCGAATCTGCGCTCCCCTCCCCAACATCCAGCTAGTGCTTTTGCCTCTGCTGCTTCCTGGTGGTCACTGCAGCTGTGTGAGGCTTTCTTACGGCAGGACTGCCCTGGGTGGAGCGCAGACCCGTGGTCTAACCAGGCAGGGCTCCTGGGCAGCTGGGCCACCAGAGGAACCTGTGAGAGCACAGGATTAAGGGGTAGGGCAAGCCTCTTGAGGTGTGCTGAAGTACAGAGAAGTGGGGAGTCCATCTGGTGAGAGGAGGGGCAGTAACGGACTTAGGGCCTGTGTGCTGGTGTTTTCGTGTCATTCCCAGTGAGGCAGGAAGGCCTGAACATGGTATTATAAGCTATTGTTCTAGTATGAAATACTTTTTTTTTAAGTGTTTGAGTCATACCCAGCAGTGCTCAGGGGTCATTTCCTGGCTCTGTGCTCAGGAATCACGCCTGGTGTGTCTTGGGGGACTGTTGGGGATGCCGCAGATCAAACCCGGGTCAGGCACATACAAGGAAAGTTATCTTTTCCGCTGTGCTGCCACTCCAGTCCTTGAATTACCAGTTTTTAAGGTACAGAGTTTGTATTGGTTTGGAAAGGAGTAATTAGGTGTCTTGACTCACTACTCTGCTTCTTAGACATTCTCTCCAAGCTAGGCGGAAATACCTGTTTCTTGCAGATGTTGTGTTATAAGGACCACCTATTTTGGGGTTGGTGAGGAGGTATTGGTTTGAACTGCACCCATTAGTGACCAGATCATTCCTGGCTCTCTGCTCAGGAGTGAACCCTTGGTCCACCAGCTGCTCATACACACAGCTGAAAGGCAGCGTATACGTAAAACTGAATGTGACCTGGAGCCTTACCAAAGCATCTTTCATTCTCTGGTATAGACATTGGTAAAATGAGGTTTTATTTTCATATTTCTAAGCAATTGAAAAAACCATTTCAGCTTTAAGTGTTTTAGTGTGTGGCAGTTTATGACATGAGCCTAGTTCAGTATATTTTCCAGTTAAATTTCCTTTTGTTGGAGTAATTTTTTTCTCTCCTAACAGAGATCTATTCGCTCTTTTGCCAATGATGATCGCCATGTAATGGTGAAACATTCAACGATCTATCCGTCTCCAGAGGAACTTGAAGCTGTCCAGAATATGGTGTCTACTGTTGAATGTGCTCTTAAACATGTTTCAGATTGGTTGGATGAAACAAATAAAAGCACGAAAGCAGAGGGTGAGGCAGAAGTGAAGAAGGAGGAAACTGCAGACACCTATTCCAAGTGAGTGGCCTGGCCTTGTGTGACTGATCTGTCTCCCTCCCTCCCTCCCTCCCTCGATTCAGTCTCAGCTCTGTGTTCAGGGATCACTCTCTGGCAGTGCTCAGGAGACCATATATGGTGCTAGCCAAACACCTTAGCTCCTAAACATGGATTTTCTTTTTCTGAGTTAAAATTAAAGCTAGAAAGCAAAAGTGGTAGAGCCAGGTAAAACAAAGGACCTGATCTGCATACCTTTTGCAGGTGTACCAAAAATTTTAAATATACTTCTTTTTTTTTAACTCTTTTATTGAATCACTGTGAGATAGACCCTTACAAAGCTGTTCATGATTGGATTTCAGTCATATACTGAAATACACTTCTGTTTTGGAGTGTGTGAAATGTCATCTTTGAAATTTTGAAATGAATGGTTCAACTCCCTAAAATTGGAAATAAAGTAGTATTTTGGTCTTTGAGGAAATGTCATATTTTTTCAGATATTTAAAAATTCTCCTGTAGAAAAAGGATTGTAGGAACATGTATTCTAAAGCCGTTTGGAACTTACTTGCTTTGTTGAGTATCAGGCCAGCCTTGTGTCTTACACATAATAAATGCTCGTTTGCAGAATGAATGAGCTCTCAAGGGAGCTTGAGCTTCATATAGCAGAGTAGTTGTACATCAGAGGGCCGTGATGGAACGGAGTGACCGGTTCTGAGTTCTGAAGCCCTGTGTGTGCCATGCTTGGCTTGGAGCTCTTTTTCTGAGCGTTGACACTGTGGCTGACGCAAGAGTAGGACTGAATGCTAACTCTCCTCTGACTCTCAGACTTAGAACTGCTACTTAGCTACAGTGCATGAACAGGATAGAGAGATGACAGAATTCCATCCCCCCTCCCCCAATTCAACTCAGCGTCATAATACTTGGGAATAGTGAAAAAGTATTGATAAATTATTTTGCTTCCCTAAATGATTTTCTTCCCTGAATGCAGTGCCAGGGATTGAACCAGGGTTGGCAGCGTGCAAAGCAAGTGCCTTACCCACTGTACTGTCTCCCTGCCCCTATTTTACATTGATACAAACTTACTCAAGGTCAAATAAATTGTACAAAGTGCCACTATTTAAAACTGTTATTAAAGCTATTAGGACTCTTACTATTTTCCTTTTGGTGCAGTGCTGGGACTGAACCTAGGGCCTTACAGTGCCCTGGATTTGATCCTGGTTACAAGTCTCTGGTAACAACTATACTGCACTCCTTTTATATATTTTTTTAATTTGCTGGCTGGATTCTATCTTGGGCCAAGATATTGAATATTGCAGGCCAAGATATGAATATTATGGCAAACCCAATTTGAATTTGAATTTAGCCTTTGCCATTTTATCCTATGAACTCAGTTTTTTTTTCTGAGATTCACATTTATTGTCTTTCAAATGCAGATTTCTTGTGAAACGTAGAGAATTAGTGGCTTATAGTTTGTTTTCAGATATTACTTTGTCTTCTTTTAGCAAATCATTGCTTTCATATTTTAACTTGAGTGGAAAACTCAGGAGCATGAGAGATTGGAACTCTTTCGTATGTTTCTGTTCTCAAACACTTGTTTACTTGTTGAATGTTTGCTAAGTTTAATTGCATTCCCGCTTGTGGTTGAGGACAATGAACAAATAAACTTTTAGTATTAAAGTCAAGTATAGATGCTAACTTTCTGTGCAACATTTATAACTTGATACTCCTTGGATGTTTATAATGCTGTTACTAGATTTGGAATATATGTATTAGATTATATTTGGCTCTTTGTCTTCCCTTAACTCTTGTGTTTTTCTGCTTTTCTCATAAACTTCTGTGGATTCCAATATTGATGCAGCTGGAACAGATGTTAGCTTTTCTAGCTGACAGCAGTTTTACAGTTTGGGGTACCAAGCTAGGAGGCATCACTAGGAATAGAGTCTTAGTTTTTTATGTTTCCATTCTGACTTGTATACGATATACTTTCTTAGTATATCGTGTTTCTCATTAGTTACTTACTACCTCCCAAAAGCAGGTTTCTTTTCTGAACAATTTTCTGGGGAAAAAAATCTTTCCAGGAGTAAAGTTTTTTCCCCCTAAATAATAAAGCATGGTAGCACGGTCCTCCCCTTGTTCATCGATTTGCTCAAGCGGGCCCAGTAACATCTCCATCGTGAGACTTGTTACTGTTTGGCATATCAAATATGTCACAGGTAGCTTGCCAGGCTTTGCTGTGCGGGCGAGATACTCTTGGTAGCTTGCTGGGCTCTCTGAGAGGGGTGGAGGAATCGAACCTGGCTCCGCCAGGCCGGCCTACTTGCTATGCTATTGCTCCAGCCCCTAAATAATATAGATGTAATAATTTAAAGTCCTATAGAAATTTCGTCCTTTATTGACTATGGTGAAGATAATTTATAAGCCTTTAAATTTGACATCTGATTTTATGGAATTTTGCATACTTAGATTTACCTACTTTACATTCAATTTTGTGGATGTTCAGGAAGCCAAGTAATGGTCAAGTTACATCCTGGGAAATAGGTTGTAAAAGTAATCACTCAGATTTTGACTTTTAGGGATCAAAGTGGCCGGACATTGTGTGGTGTAATGAGGATTGGCCTGGTTGCCAAAGGCTTGCTGATAAAAGATGACATGGACTTGGAGCTGGTTTTAATGTGCAAAGACAAACCCACAGAGACCCTGTTAAATACGGTCAAGGAAAACCTTCCTGTACAGATTCAGGTGAGTACAGTTTCATTGAGCCTTTAGTTTGTGAAAACGTGAAAATAGGACGTGACCTTGAGGTTGATCATAGTAAAAGGTGGGTATGGGCGAAAGGAATATTACCATTCTGGGCCAGTAATTCATCCATTCCATGTAAAGCATGACTGGTACTCTGATGACTGGTACTCAGCTTAAATTTACCAAATTAAAATGGCTTTTAAGGTGCAGTCTTACATTTGGGGCGTGGGTGAGGGTAACTCTGAAGTGGTGTCAGGGGCCCTGAGGGCCAACCACTCCTGACTCGGACAAGCGGGTCAGTACTTTGATTTGGTGCTGCTCAGGCTGTGGAGTCTGGCTATGCCGGTTCTTTAGTTTGAATCCCATCCTTGTGCCTGCCTTTATTTTCCAAACTAGATCGCTTAGCCTGGAATAGAACCCAGCCTGGCTGCATGAAAGACAGAGGCCCTTTCCGCAGTACTATCTCTCCAGCCTTGGATATTCTTGATACTCAAATGTCTGATACTTGTTAACACCTTACCCTACCCAGTTATTTGTAGCAAACATTAGTAGCACTGTCCTCCCGTTGTTCATCGGTTTGCTTGATTTGCTCCAGTGGGCACCAGTAACATCTCACAACAAATTGTGAGACTTTGTTGTTACTGTTTTTTTTGGTATATCGAATATGTCACAGGTAGCTTTCCAGGCTTTGCCGTATGGGCAAGATACTCTCGATAGCTTGCTGGGCTCTCCGAGAGGGGCAGAGGAATCAAACTCGGGTCGGCCATGTTGGCTGCGTACAAGGCAAACACCCTGCCCCCTGTGCTAGCGCTCCAGCAGCGTTGGTGTTGGGATATAGCTCTGTGGTAGAGAATTTGGCTGCAGGGTTTCCTGGTTCAAATCCAGGTGTCCCTTTGGTGGCTTTTCTAATCTTCAGCAAAGAAAAATGCCACGTTTCTACTTTTAATTCTAATAAATGTTTTCTGTTTTTTTTTTATAGGGTTGAGTTTCTGTATTTATAAAAGATTAAAATTTTTTTGTGATCATTTTGGGAGGTAGAATAATAAACATCATGTAACATTAAGGTTTTTAAAAATGGAAAGTTTAGTAATGGGTTTCTGATTGACTTTACTTTTTGTTATTAGAATTCGCAAAATCTTTTCCTAATTTTATATTGTTTAATATTTTTTTTTTTTGCTTTTGGGTCACACCTGGCAATGTACAAGGGTCACTCTTGGCTCATGCACTCAGGAATCACTCTTGGCGGTGCTCGGGGGACCATATGGGATGCTGGGAATTGAACCCAGGTCGGCTGTGTGCAAGGCAAACACCCTACCCGCTGTGCTATTGCTCCAGCCCCTGTTTAATAATTTTTTGACTTTGCTTTTTTACATTTTTTAAAATTTTTTGAGGGGGTTTGGGTCACACCCAACGGTGCTTAGGCTTACTCCTGGCTCTGTGCTTGGGAATCACTCCTGACTGGGCTTGGGGGACCATCTGGGGTACTTGGAATTGAACTTGGGCTGGCAGTGTACAAGGCAAGTCCCTACCTGCTGTGCTGTGTCTCTGGTCTAACATTGTTATTCTTAAGTCTATAATGGAGTAATTAGAATAATTATGATCAGATGTACTGCACTTTTCCAGCTTTCTCCTGCACTTTCCCTTTGTGTGTTACCTTTGGTGAGTCCTGTTTCTTAACAGAGTGGTCTTGTTCCTTAGGTGCGTCAGGGTGGAAAAGGGATTGATAGGTTGTGGTATGATGAATTGGAGGCTTATTCTGAAAATCAATCCCATTTTTCTAGAATTGAAGTTACAGTGGATTACAATGGACTGTCAGTGTCAGTATGCATTGATAGAGTAAAAACACTCATTTTTTTTCTCTCCTAAGATAGGGTCTTTATTTCTAAACACTACTGTTCTTAAAATGCTTTTGTCAAACTAGCAAAATGTTTAGGAAGGCCAGGAGAGTGCAGGATAGGTAAAACACTTAAAACTTGAAGGGACTGGAACTTTGGGGGTAAGAGAAGACAAAAGGCTTAAATAGGTCTAGGTCTTTTAAGGGTTTCTTAGGAAAGGTAGAAGAGGGTCATTGTAATAAGCTAATTTCAATGTTAGGATAGCAAAGTGGGTTCTCCAACAATGAAGCTAGTTGCTTTGTGTGTTTATATTCATTTTCATAGGTACTTGGGTAAAGATGGTCACATAAAATAGGGATGTAACTGAACACCTTTCTCAAATCAGATTATATGCATGTATATATAATACTGTTTGTATATGCACACACACAAACATACACACACACACACACACACACACACACACACACCATTATTTAATTAGCCAATTCTATTTTATGTTTTAGAGGGAGTCTTCCCAGGCGATGCTCAGGGGTACATGAGGACACTGCTTGTCACTCTTAGCAACCAGGTTGGCTGGTGTTTGGGTCCTCCAGGGTTACATGCAGCAATATTCAGAGGACTTTGTGGTGCTGGGGATTGAACTGGGGGCAGGTGTGTGCATGATACCTGCCTTCACCCCGTCCTATCTTATCTCTCTGGTCCCACAGACATAATTAGTACTTTAATGTGATTTCTAGCTTTACTGTCTCCTTGATTCCTTCGTGTTTGTCCGAACAACCAGTCTTTGGTAGGAAGGATAGATCTTACATTTTTAGACATTTTTTTCCTGAGCACTTCTGGACAGCAAAACCTTTGGTCAGCTCAGTACCTTGATTGTGGTTGTCCATATCTGTTTTTCTGTGTAATCTTTTTAAAGAAGATCTTAGAACTCCCTTCTCTGGTTGTTGGTGGGGAGTAGAGACTGGGGACTCCCAGGCAGAGCTGACGGGCCCAGGGACCCCCCGTGATCCTGGGCCCATCAGCTCCACGGGGGGGCCTGCACATGCGCTGCTGCTTTGCTCACATGTAGGATGGTCTTTGCTTTTCTTTTTTCGGCAGAGGAACGTCCAGTGATAAAATCATTTTTATATAAATGGCCTTTAGGTTTTCCTTTTTCTTTTCTTTCCTTTTTTTTCCTGGGACGCAATTGGCTCTGCACTCAGGAATCACTCCTGGCGGTTCTTGGGGGACCATATGGGGTGCTGGGGATTGAACTCAAGTTTGCCGTGTGCAAGGCAAGAGCCTTACCCTCTGAACTACCTCTGAGGTCATCTTTGACGTTTTTAGAATACATATTGACATAGAGACTCGGTAGTAGTTTCCGTTCAGTTATTGATGTTTGTAATACTAAATTTTTTAACGATGAAACTCCCGAGGTGACTTATTAAAGTACACATTTACTGTATGAAATATAACTTGTGATTTTAAATTTTAAATTTGTGGACGAGGTAATTCATGTGTCCTTGCCAAAGCATTTGCCCCATCATGATAGGTTTCCCTGGAATGACCTTTAAAATCTGATGTTAGAGGAAGTCTGTTGCTTGGGTTTTTTATTTTAATGGAGTAACTTGGGGTACTTTGTGCTGTCAGGGATTGAGCCAGCGTCTGTCATGTACCAGGCTATCCCCTAACCCTGTACTAGCTCTCCAGACTGGAAGATGCTTGTATATACTATATATTTTTTTCTGGTGAGTGACTGTAGAGCTCCTTCTTCATTTATTCTTACCTATTCACTGCGGGGTGTCTCCCTGGGAATCAGAACCCGGGTCCAGCACATCAATTGCTATACTATCTCCCAGCCCCCAATAAGTTGGCATATTCATATGCCAAAAATGTATATGATCTTTATTTAGCCACATAGAAATTCCTGTTTAGATTATAGGCCACCTGCCAGTGAGTTTTGACTCTAATTCTCTATACTGATTTCAAAAAAAATGTTTTAAGGACCATCGAGATAGTTCATAATAAACTGCGATACTTGTCCTGCATATGGCAAATTCCAGTTCCATCCTTGGTACTGCATATGGTTCCCCGGGCATCACCAGGACGGATCTTTGAGCACAGAGCCAGGAATAAGCCCCCAAACACTTCAGGCTGTGATATCCTGCCTGCTCCCTTGGTCGAAATGATTTTTACCCATGGTCACTTAGCGGTGCTGTTTCTGTTTTAAAGTATTAGAAAAAGTGCTCTTAAATAGTGTTTTATAATTGTATTGATGCTTGAATCTCTGATTACTTTTTGAAGGGTGAAAGAGTGGGGGTGGAGGGAGAGACAAAAATAGAGAGAGGGAGGGTGGGAAGGAGGGAGGGAAGGAAGGAGGGAGGAAAGAGAGAGAACTGGTTACTTTCAGCCTGATGCAGTTGAAAAATACAGGGGAAGTCATTCAGTTTTTGAGATTTTAATCTATTGTGTGTTTTTGTTATCTTGGTGACTTGCAGAAACTCACAGAGGAGAAATACCAAGTGGAACAATGTGTAGATGAAGCATCTATTATAATTCGAAATACAAAAGAGCCCACGTTAACTTTGAAGGTGATACTTACTTCCCCTCTAATTAGGGATGAATTGGAAAAGAAGGATGGAGGTACACGTATACATACATATATATTTATCTATTTATGTTTTTGTTTTGTTTATGTGCTGGCTCTATTGGAATGTATGTTAACTATGCTCCATGGATTTAAGAGTTAACTAACTTCATTTTATGCCACTAATAGTATTATAAAGGGTTGTTTCTTTATAATCATTTTGTGAGCTGTAATTTTAAAATATAAAATTCAAGAATAGGTGTGCATCACGTTGGATTTTAAACTTAGTTTTTTATTAAAATATTGTGTTCTGTTTCACTAGATTTACTATTGCATTAATAATTGCTGTCAGCCAACCTTTCCTGTATAGTTTGGATTAGTGATCTGATTTCAGCATTGTATATGACCCAGGACATTACTCTTTTCAAATTTTTACTCACTGTTTCAGATTTACTCACTTGTGTATTGCTTTTGACTTCAAATAACTATATAACCTTGTGAGATTAGTTCTTTACCCAATTGCTTGTGAGTAAATACATGTGTTTTATAATGTAAGAGATGAAATTGGGTTATTGATTTTTTTTTTATTTTTAGAATAAATAATCTGTACTAATCTTTTTCCTAGGAGGTTTGTGATCATGATATATGTGAGAACCGTGCTTGAAATTACTTTCTTCTGAAGTGAAAATGAATTCCTGTATGGCCGTCTTGCTCTAAAAGAGTAGAGTGTGGAAATCTAGTTAGTTTTGATGGAACTGGGCTTCTTTTTCTGATGTTTTTATCCTGTTAGTGTGTTTCTGTCTTTCAATCCTGTCTCATGGAACTTGCCATGGAATATTTGTCCTCATTCAGACCTCTGAATAGCCGGCCAGCCCCTCTGTCCTGACAGTGAAGAGCCAGTGAAGCCCATCTCAGGACTTATGTGGCTCACATGAGATGCTCTTCTCCTTTACGTAAATTTCCAGGGTAGTTAGAAATACCAGCCAGTTTCTTCACTTATTTAAAGTTGAGCATAAAGACAGAAAAAGACACATTTCCCAGTGAATTTAGGACTTTGAATTTTGGCAGACAAAACTCAGAATCTCTTTTTTTTTTTTTTTTGCTTTTTGGGTCACACCCAGCGATGCTCAGGGGTTACTCCTGGCTCATGCACTCAGGAATTGCCCCTGGCGGTGCTCGGGGGACCATATGGGATGCTGGGAATCGAACGTGTGTCGGCCATGTTGGCTGCGTGCAAGGCAAACGCCCTACCCGCTGTGCTATCGCTCCAGCCCAAAACTCAGAATCTCTTAAGTGACTCAAAAAGTTTTTCTTGGTGGGCTAATTAAAATCAGCTCTGCCATACCCAACAGATACAAAATGGAGATATTGTGAATCAGTTAAAAATTAAAGTGCATCCAATCCATAATTTGGGTTTATGCTTCTACTTTTTTTTTCTTTGCTGTATACATAAAGAACCAATCTTAAATGACTTAATTTCTTTAACAGCATTACAGTTCACCATTAACTGTAGAACTATAAAATGATTTCTGAAGTATCAAGATAATTCTGTTAATTCTGGTAAGCTGTGTTCTCCTTGACCCGTTAGTGTAAAATTGACTATTTCTAAGCACAATAGTAATTATAGGTTATTAAAATTATTTGAGTATGGAGAGATGAGAAAAAGATTGAAGTTGCCAAACTAGATTAATTTTGTTCACTTGTAGATATATCCATCTCTTCCATTACATACGTGAAAGTATTAAGAGAATATCAGGCTTCGTTTTACCCATGGTTTTATATATTTAAATGAGATTTAGGCATAGTTTGCAGTGAGACCTTATTTGAATCTGATGCCTTTTAATTTAATTTCTATTCAGAAGAGCTAATTATGGACTTAGAGTGTATTTTATCCCTTAGAAGACACACTTTTATAGAATGGAATTTATAATGAATTAGGAGAATCACTTAGATTGTTCAAAGTGTGTGGGGTTGCTAAGAGCTCCCAACATCTCTTTGTATGCAGAATCTTATCAGTCGATGTTAATATTGTGTGGGATCAAAAAGGTGAAAGAATCCGCCTCAGTCTAATTTTCGCACTAGTTATTTCTCCTTTGGAATGGCATGTTTGGTTTTTGATTGCCCTTAGTCTCCCAGCCTTGCTGATGACTCACTTGATCCACCTTGCAATTGGCTTAGGTTTGTCTCACCTGGGTTTTGTCACAGTTTTTTATACTAGCAACACTGGGACTCGTGCACCCCGAGCAGTCAGGCTCTGGCTGTACTTGTTTGTCTGTAGGACTTGTTTCCTCTCGGAGCACTCCTGTCCTTTCTGAACTGGTACTGCTCTTTTCAGATGAAGAAAAGGCAGGGAATTAATCTGAGGTTCCAGAAATTTTTAAATTGAAATATAATTGAAATATCTCTTTATTAAAACAGTAAATATTCTTTTCTTTCTTGCAGTATAAAATTGTATGCATTGTAACCTTTTCCAAAGGAACATTTTCCAATAGCATCTCTTATTCTCCCTTTCTCACAAAGCAGACTAATCACCACACATATCTGTCTCAAGTCTTTGTCTTCCCGGGGCCAGAGCAATAGTACAGTGGGTAGGATGTTGCCTTGCATGTTGCCAGCCAGGTCAGTGCCCAGCACCCCCTCGGGCTCCCCAGATCCCACCAGGAGTGAGCCCTGTGTGCTGCCAGGAATAGCCCACAAACACACAAGCACGAATCTTTGTCTTTCCTCTCTTTATTTTCCATGTATTTGGGGGAAGAGCATGTTTCAGAGCATGTGGAACAGGAGGTGGCAGCTTATACCATCACACTTGACCTCTCAATGTTGTCTTTGCAGAAATGATCTCTCTGTTGCCTGGTTCAAGTCACCTTTTTGATTCTGGAGAGTATTAAGAGTAATAGCTATTCTCTTTGGTATTTACCATGCCATAGATAAGGTTTGTCTTGTGATGATTATCTTCTTTGCATATTTTGATCTTTTCTTGAAGATCCTGGAGACAGCTGGTCCCTAGTCCATGCTTTCTGCCAAAAGAGCATATAGGAAAAAAGCACAGACCTTGAATTCCTGGTAGCCAGTGATCCCATTTTAAATCCACTAGTGACTACTGCTCTGTAAACCTGGGCAAGTTTCTTCATTTTATTTAATACTGTTTTTGGAGGGTGTTGGGCCACATCTGGCAGAGTGCAGGGGTCACTCTGGCAGTGCTCCAAGGACCATGTGAAGTGCCAGGGATCACATCAGTTGACCCCATTCATGGCATGTGCCTTAACCCCTGTATTCGCTCTCTGGTCTGTTTTCTTCACTTTAGAAAGTGTTTAGTCAATACTTTACATAAAGTTGTTCAAGGTTAAATGAAATAATTTATGTGATATGTAAACAGCAGTAGTTACTAATTTACTAAAACTTCATAGCTCAAACTCACATACTTAAACCATGTTGAATTATTAGTGAGAAGACTTGTGCATGGTTGGTCCAAAGAACTGAACTCAAACACAGTTTAATTCTTAAAATACCCATTGAAGTGTAACATAGTAATCAGTATACTTTTACTTGCTGAAGTGCTGCTAATATGCCATTTATTATATAGCATATGATTTTTTTTTTATTTATTTATTGAATCACTGTGGGAAAGGTTACAAAGCTTTCAGGTTTATGTCTCAGTCATGCAAATAACAAACACATTTCCCTTTACCAATACTTATTTTTTCCCATGAAGAACCCCAATAAAACCCCACCCCCCACCCCTCCCCGTCCCTGTGAGGCAGATGAATTCTAGTTAACACTCTATCCGCTTTGATTAGATTGTTTCAATAAAAGATTCACCACTATTATTTAGAGTTTACCCCCCCCCCCCCCAAATCAGACATGCTGAAAAAGCATTGTGAAGTGATTTGCTTTCTACAGCTGGGTTCAAGAATTAAATGTTGGTTTTGGATTTCTGCTATTTTACCTATTGACCCTGGAAGTATTTCTACTGAAAGTCAGATAGTTAAGAAATTGGTTTCTGTGTTCTGGAGTCGTGGCCGTGCTGGAGAGCCGCTCGCGGGGGGCAACTGGTGGCCTCGGTAGGGTGTGAAGGGCGGAGCGAAACGTCCCCCTTCCCATGAGGTTTTAGTCGCCCCCACACTCCCGGCTCATATCTGCTGTCCACAAGGCTCCCATGTGGCCGCCATCTTTCTTTCCAGAGAGGAGAGGGTGAATGGGGCAACACCCTTTCCCCTCCGGCAGACTTGATGGGCTGGATCAACGCATAGTCCATTCACTTTTCTGCTCCAAGCTGCTGGGTTCTGCATTAAGTCCTTGTGCTTCTGGGGCCATGGCCGTGCTGGAGAGCCACTCGCGGGGGGCGACTTGTGACCTCGGTAGGGCGTGAAGGACGGACCGGAACGCCCCCCGACCCATGAGGTTTTAGTCGGCCCCACTCCCCCGGCTCATACCTGCTGTCCACAAGGCTCCCATGTGGCCGCCATCTTTCTTTCCAGAGAGGAGAGGGCGAATGGGGCAACACCCTTTCCCCTCCGGCAGACTTGATGGCCTGGATCAATGCATAGTCCGTTCACTTTTCTGCTCCAAGCTGCTGGGTTCTGCATTAAGTCCTTGTGCTTCTGGGGCCGTGGCTGTGCTGGAGAGCCGCTCGTGGGGGGCGACTGGTGACCTCGGTAGGGCGTGAAGGACGGACTGGAACGCCCCCCTTCCCATGAGGTTTTAGTCGCCCCCACACCCCCGGCTCATACCTGCTGTCCACAAGGCTCCCATGTGGCCGCCATCTTTCTTTCCAGAGGGAGGAGGGCGGAAGGGAGCAACACCCTTTCCCCTCTGGGCAGAAATGATTGCCTGGATTAACGCATAGTCCTTTCACTTTTCTGCTCCAAGCTGCTGGGTTCTGCATTAAGCCCTTGTGCTTCTGGGGCTGTGGCCGTGCTGGAGAGCCGCTCGTGGGGGGCAACTGGTGACCTCGGTAGGGCGTGAAGGACGGACCGGAACGCCCCCCTTCCCATGAGGTTTTAGTCGCCCCCACACCCCCGGCTCATACCTGCTGTCCACAAGGCTCCCATGTGGC